CATTAGAAAGAAACTAAATTTGGCGGCGGATGATATTGGCAATTACAGGCCCATCACCAATGTTTCTTTCATTAGTAAAGTGGTGCAGAGGGTGGTGGTCGATCAGCTTCAGGCTCACTTGGATGAAACAAATGTCCTGGATCCATTCCAGTTGGGTTTCAGGCCATGTCGTGGTACAGAAACGGCATTGGTCACCTGTATGATGACCTATTGAGGGAGGCCAACAGGGGGAAAACGTCCCTGCTGGTCCTCCTTGATATCTCAGCCACCTTCAATACCATTGACCACGGTATCCTCCTGGGGAGGCTCTCCAAGTTGGGAATTGGTGGCCTGGCGTTTGCCTGGCTCCGATCCTACTTGGAGGATCGTCCTCAGAGAGTACAGCTTGGGGAGAGAGTTTTGGCCCCATGGAGTCTCAATTGTGGGGTTCCGCAGGGCTCGATAATCTCCCCAATGCTGTTTAATATCTATATGAGGCCACTGGATGGGGCCATCAGGGGATGTGGAGTATTGTGCCATCAGTATGCTCTACATCACCTTTTCTCCAACTACAGTGGATGTCGCTCTGCCCCTTCAGTGCTGCTTGGAGACTGTACTACAATGGATGCAGGAAAATGTGTTGAGGCTGAACCCAGACAAGACGGTGGTACTGAGGGTGGGGTGGTTTGGGAAACTCCCTCTCATTTGGGGGGGTAACTCTCACCGTGAAGAGTGAGGTTCATAGCTTGGTGATGTCTCATTTGGGGGGGTAACTCTCACCGTGAAGAGTGAGGTTCATAGCTTGGGGATACATCTGAAGAGTGAGGTTCATAGCTTGGTGATACGTCTGGACCCGGTGCTCACCATGGAAAACCAGCTGGCGTCAGTAGTTCGATCTGCCTATTTCCATTTTAGGCGGAATTCCCAGCTGTGTCCCTATCTTGATGTTGGAGCACTCACCACTTTAGTGCATGTGCTTGTAATCTTGAGATTAGACCACTGTAATGCACTCTACGTGGGGCTACCTTTGAGACTGATGTGGAAGCTCCAAATGGTACAGAATGTGGTGGCCAGACTTATTAGTGGGGTGAGGAAACACCATCATAACTCTCCCAATCTGGCCACATTGCACTCGCTGCCCATACACTTCCACGTCGATTTCAAAGTTTTGAATAACAATAACAATAACAATAACAATAATAACAACAACAATAATAACAACAACAACAATAACAACAACAACAACAATAATAACAATAATAATAACAATAACAACAACAACAACAACAATAACAACAACAACAACAACAACAACAACAACAACAACAA